CACCAACAACTTTGGGGGTACAAAGTTGAAGAGAAATTATATCTGGGGGTACGCGAACAAAAAAGGTTGAATATCACTGGCCTAGACCACGGCCTTGCTCAATACAAGTTATAGATTCGAGCACCGCCGGGAATCGAACCCGGGACCCCAGGATTGCAAGGACAGCGTACTAACCGCTAGACCACAGGGTTTCCCCCCCCTGTACATGTGATATATGTTCCGTTAATCTCACTCCTCTTGGTTTAACACTCTAAACAACAAAAGGTAAAATAAAAGAATGACATGAGGAATAATCACGATTTTATATAATCTTATTTCGTATTTTTTTTTAATTACACCATCAAAATTGAAATGAATAAGCCTTGATGTGCTGAAATCCTCGGCACTGAACAGAGATTCGTTTCATAAATCATTACCTGCTTCGTAACAATCAATGATTGATAAAAATTATTATAAATATTTTAACATTCTCGCGGCCAACGACAAACCAAGGTGTCTGTGGGAATTTGTTGGCTGCACCTGATGTAAACTGTGCCTATGGAACAAATGTTTATATTTTAGAAGCCATGTGACACAGTGACAGACAGCAAATCATTCTAACACCATCTTTGATACACGGGAAATGATGTATAAGCTACAGATAAGAGGCTAATTTTAAAACTAAATAAACAGGACGTGAGAATGTGGACTGAATTCATTCGACTCAGGATGGGATCTGTACCAAGCTTTTATGAACATGGCAATGAACAGTTGGAATTTCGTGTCATGCCGATAGATTTATTAGATTCTCAAGGTTTCTCACTGTAATTAATACAAACTGAAGTCACAACTTTCGAATAGAATTGAACTGGACTGGAGAATCAGGAGAATAAGAATTATTCCTCTAGAGGCTTGTGGTTTATGTAATCACAGCAATAACAGAAAACCACAAAAAGATTAATAAATTCATTGTGATCATTATTAATGAAAAACGATCACGGTAATACAATGAACAATAAATGCAAAGAACTCGCTGATTTATAAGAAAACGACAGAGCAGACACAAGTGTCAATTCTGAATAGATACGTTAGTGACGTCATGGAATTAACCCCGGAATTTCACAATAAACTTTTCCGCTGCTGCGAATTGTCGTGGTTTCTAAACTGATGTGAGTGATAAATTAACCTTGAATTTTAAGGATTTTCCCCACATTCTTACACTTTGCATCTAGACATGTTAGAAAGTAATTCCTTTTATCTGTTCAATGCCATTTAGCATGTAAACCAAGAACCACAATGCTGACGCTAAACTTTAATGACATGACCAGGTTTTGCCCTGTTTCTTAGGTTCAGGGATAAAAAATGTCTGACACCAACACACACACATACTTCAAAAAGTATTCAGCCCCTAAAGTAGCCTAATGTGGTCTTTAAAACGATTTAAAGCGATTAAATTTAAAATTAATAACTAGTATAATGGAAATGTACCAAATTTCATCAAAATATGCCAAACGACCTATGTAATATAGATTTGAGATTCTCACGGTGGCGAGTATAAAGCTGACTGTCTTCTGGAATATTCGCCGTGTAGTCTGACGATCACCCTGATGATGAAGGCAGCAAGCATCTAAGAAATGTCAGTAAACTTCTGTAAAGATTACACGGCACTACAACGCACAGGACAGCAATTTTTATTTTGACCTCTCCAATAGCATATTTATTCCCATAATATAATGACCCTAATACAAACCCTATAAATCCAAAACCAAAACAGGATCGGTAATATTCAAGTATGTCATACCGAATTTCATCCAAATCGGTAAAGTAGTTTGGGAGATATTGCTTGCGGACAGAAAGAAATGATGAAACTATTGGATGATTTTAATTACTTCACAAAACGAATTATTTTATTACGAAACCTACAATAATCGCTAAACGTTCGGGGAATCTCCAGTGTTAAACTTTATCACAGAATGTGGTAATGCTGCAAATCTCTAACCATCTATCCCTCTGCTCCGTATGTTTTTGCCCACAGATGACAGCACTTGCGTTGACGCTACTCACTTTTCTGGCGGCGCTGCCTGATGGCCTCCAGTTCGAAATCGCTGGGGTTGAAGTTGGTAAGGGGCGACTTCTCATGAAAGTCTACTCGGGACTCACAAATGGGCTTCGCCAATCCAGGCAGATGCCCATCGCCTCCCAGAGCCCGGAACACTTGGTCAACAAGGAAGAAGACTTTGCGGGAGACGCAAGTACGATCTTCGAGATGTGGTAGACTTTGCCACGTGGTGCATGCGACTTTGTTTATTCGATGCTGGTCTTTGGATTGAAACGTCGTGTGGACTTCTATGTGGATACCGACTTTCACAGATTGAGGCAGTATGTTCCTCCGAAATGGTGGTGGCTACCTACAAGTCTACATGGTGTTACAACCTAAAAGACCAACATCGACGTCTTCACCGGGGTGAGAACCCCAAATTTCACACATTATTTTTAGTGTTCTCTCTTCGTCCTTCGTTCTTATATTTTCCACTCCTTCCTAAAAATCGAATTTATGTATTTGTATGTCTATCTTCCTGTCTAACTAATTATCTATCTACATCTATCTCGAAACGCATAAACGTATAACGAATAACGATATGGAATAATTGCAGATCACCTGGTTACACGAACAAGTACCATGAAATTTAGAACAGGGAAAGCTGAAAATAGAATATACTGTATTATAACATAATATGAAAAAATATATAGGCCAATATACAGAATGACTCAAAAAAGATGTATACACACTTTCAATTAATTTGAGTTACTCGAAGCTCAATGGACCTTCCGCCATTTTGCGTATCTGAATCATGGGAAAATATATTTCTGCGTTGTAAGCGTAGACCACGGTAGGTTCCCTCGCAGACACAAACGGAAATGGATAACAAGGGTATACCCCGCATTGTAATGTGTATACATCCTCATGGAACACGTAAATATACATGGGGAATACAATATATGGTATGAATGTGTTTTAATGGTCAATAAATCTGTCATATCATGATGCAGTTGCGCTACAACTCTTATCGGGTCTTGGCTTCCTGCGAGGTTTCCTGGTCGTGAAGTGTGCATTTATGAGTAGTGAGTGACCAGCCCACTGACTAAATCTATCATACGAGGTGCGATCGAAAGGTTTTCAGACTGCGCGTATAAAAACCCGTACACTTATCTCAGGTATTAAATTCATCCATCACCCTCGAAGTAGTTCCCCTGGGAGTGAACACAACGATCCCA